CCCCCCACACACACACCTCTACAACCATCAGGCTTAGATTCCACGTCCTCACTGTCTGTGTGCAGGTGTAAGAGTGTGTGTTAGCGTGCGTGTGCAGTCGCCTTTCACGCGTGGTTTTCAGGGAGAGTGCAAGTGTTGTGTTACACATGACATTGTGCAGCAGCACTGTATACACACGGCCACTGCCAAGTACAGTACGCGAGTCTGCGTGTGAGCACAGTGGGAGACGTGATACAGCAGGAATTGAGAATGACGGACATGAAACGTAGGACAACGTTGTGAGAAATGCAGAAAAGAGGAAGTGACAGAGAGGAGAGGAAACAGCTGGGTCAAGGGTGAGTGGATTATGGGAAATTAGCTCAGCACGAAGCTGCGGTTCTGTTTTTCCCCCCCTCTGTCTCCGTTGTGTCCGTCTGATCCTGTACATCCACTGTCTCAGCAAAACTCAGGAAGGACAGTAGGAGGCAGAGATGAAGTTACAGAGAAAAAGGGCACGACAGGAAGGCTAAATAGCAGACGGCAGACAGTGTGAAACTGAAGAACCTGATGAACTGTACAAGTTGGCTTCATTGAGTGTAGACTTGCAGCCTGCTGCAGAGGGACAAGATGGATAATCCTGTGCAGCGGTTAGCTCTCAAAATAAAGCATATCAACCAATCTTTTACGCAATTTCTAAATATGTTTTGGGCTCTGACATCATCACCGTGTGTGTGTGTGTGTGTGTGTGTGTGTGAGTGAAAGCGCTCACGTTAAAGTTTAGCAGAACAGGTCGCCCAACCTCCCCGGATCAGTGTTTGCTCTAGTAACACGACAGTATTTGTTCCGTGTTGTTACGGAGGACAAAACACAGTTGGCTCAAACTTGACATTGACAGCATTTGACCCGTTGCGTTCCCTGATTAAGGTCCAGGGGATGAGGGGAGTACGAGTATAAATACACCCAGAGACAGAGTCACGAGCAACGGATGAGTAAACTAAATAAGGACTTTATTAACAGTTAAATGAAAAGCTCACAAACAACTGTCTAAAAGAAAAGTAGCACTGATTATCAAAAGTAGCAAAAGAAGGACCAGAGAGTGCAATACTTGTAATTGGTTGCACTACCAAACCCGGCACATCCAACACACACACAGCTTGAACTCGCCACTCGGCCCACTGGGGCTGTCTGTCTGCCTCTGCCGGCCTCCTAACCACCAGGTCCTAATCGGTGATTGAGCCCAGCCGCGTACATCCACACACTGCAGCTGCTGGGCTTGGAAAAGGGAGGCACCTGCATAGACACTTGGGGGGGAGCCTTTTTATGTGCTCTCCGCATTTAGAGGTATAAATGCAGGAGCACCATTGCCCTGAGTGCTCTCTCTCTCTAAGTGGCAGAGCTCTTGCTCGGCATCCTTAAGGTTATGGTTTACTGGTCCCATGGCTGTCATCTGACATCAGCGGCTGCAGAAGTGGGTCTTCCAACCTGTTCTATCGGTATCTAGTGTGCCACTGTGAGACTTAAAGAAAGGCCTAGTTATTCACAAATGCAAGCAGGTGCTCACACAAAACAAACGCACTCAATGTTTGGTGTCCAGTTGAAACACTGACCTCAGTTTATGACGAGTCCTCCTCCGCAGTGCAGTGACCTCAGTCACAGTTGGTAAGATGAAGTGCTCCAGAGAGGAACAGAGCCCCGTTTGATGCGACCTGCTTTGATGGATCCAGACTCACTTTTCCATCACGGTGCGACCAACATTCTCAGTTGGCCGCACCCTTTATTTAATGCATGGTATCAATCGGCGGTGGAAGGTAACTAAGTACGTTCACTGAAGTACTTCTGTACTCAAGTACAGTTTTGATGCGACTTTCTGCTCCACTGGATTTCAGGGGGAAATATTGGACTTTTTACTTCAATACATTTGTTTATAATGGTTGTATGAAATACAATGCATTGTTATATGGTAAATAAATCACCCAACTCTATACAAATGAACTCTAGTGCAGCCAGCTCCACTAATGCATCTTACATGTTACTGCGTCAATAATAAGAAACTAATATTTAAATATATAATAATGTAACAACTAAAGAGCCCATTTGGCTGCATAGGGAGTCCTTTCTGTTTTATACTTTAGGTAGGCTACAGTTTCTTGAAAATACAGTGTTTTTTAATTCATGGTAGTACTTTTACTCAAGTAAAATATCTTGGTACTTCTTCCACCACTGGTATTAATCAATGACACTGTCTCAGTCGGTCTCCCCTTCATCATCAGTGGCGTCTGAGTCAGAACTTCTCGTTGTCGCTTCCCCCCCTGCCCAGCCTCCTCCTCCTCTCCTCTTTTTGCTTTTTAAAATAATGAGTGATAAACCGCTTCATTTTTTTGGAATGCAGTAACGGCTAAGTGGATCGGTTCGTGAAAAGCGGTCCCTCTATCGCCGAGGCGAGCGCGAGCTCGACCTACCTGACGCGTTCTTCACGTTCACTTCTGAGACTCAGGAGGCGGGGATGGAGTAGACAGAGGCTGGTGTCCCTGCTCCATAATGATCATCGTGCACTCGCATGAATGCAATCGCGTGACATTTTTAACTCACTCACTAACAAAAAAAAAAAACCGTGATTGCATACATCCTGTCCTGTGTGCTGGCCAGCTCTTATCTCCGCTCGAACACTGTGGAGGAGGGGACTCGCGCTGTCTTCCCTCTCAGACCCCCGGTATCCTCACAATCACTCCCTACTGGCAGCTGCAAGTGTGTGAGTAAGTCTGTGTGTGTACTCCAGCTGTGTGGAGGAGAACATTGTGTTCCGAGTTCAAATTGGGTCGTGTTTAACTTGCACTGGCTGAGCCCGTAGACCAGAGGCCAGCTGAGTGGATCGTCGTAACACTGACATAAGCCCGTGACAATGCTCGCCTGTCCCCTGCTCCCATCTTTTGCTTATTATGTGAAGCCTGGGTTCAGCATGTGCGGGAAAGAAAGTGACAGCAAATTACATAAGTTACACAAAATGCCAAGTGTGATTGGATAACTTGGAAGGAGCCCTTGTGTTTGAGGCTTCTATTCATGTGTTGTTCTTTTCTCTTCCCTCCCCAGTATCAGTGAGAGTTTCCTCACCGTGAAAGGCGCGGCCCTGTTCCTCCCCCGGGGAAACAGCCCCACGCCTAACTCCGCACCTCGCATCAGCCACAGCAGGAACAAGCACACAGGTAAAGACTCGCACACACCGATGACCGCTGCAGCTTCTCTCCGCCTCTCAAATGAACGCGAGATTAAATAGCAGTGCGTGTTTTTCAAATGGACATTCCTCCGCAGCATCATCGGTAACAGCTGGCGTTAACTTCACCGACGCTGTTTCACAACGATTCGGTTCACTGGTGCATGCAATGTGGTGGCCAGACTGAGGAATAAACCCACACTAAATATCTTCACACTTTAGGACGATGAAAACAAAGTTTAAACATTTTGGAAAACAAGAAAAGTAGAATGTGCTGCTGTCTGTGGATGAAGACGGCCTTTGTTGTTGGACCTTCTGTGATGTGAAATGGGCTGATGACTTTAAAAAGCATCAAAAGCTCTGTTTCAGAAATATCAGGCTTTTTTCCCCCTCAGATGTGGAGATCAGGCTGAATGTAGGCTGTAGTGAAAGAGACACTGGAAACTTGCCACAGGGATAAATGATACGTTATCTTAGGTGTTGTGTTAACCTGCGAAATGCCAAGAATGCAAGCGTTGTCCAAAAGGAGCTGAAACTAAATGAGGATGTTGAAATCCTTTCTATCCAGGTGACCTCCAGAAACATCTTCAGACCATGTTCACTGTGCTGCGGCCGGAGGACACCATCCGACTGGTCAGTAACACACACACACACACACACACACACACACACACACAGAAGCGGGGGGGGGCACATTGTGTTCAGGGAGATTAAACTCCAGACGGAGGGGCCGGTTTCAGTTCTTTGTTAGTAAATATAAAGACCTGAAACTGGTTATGAAAACAACTTTCGTTGGACATTGAAAGTCTTTACTCTGACGTCTGATAACAAACATACTCTTACATCAAAACATACAGTACATACAGTACTAGTATGTGTTTTTTTTAAGTCCCTGTAACATCTTTGAAATGGAGGTATTCCAGCAATGTCTTGCAATCTCCTCTCTGTCTTCACCCGCAGGCTGTGCGTCTGGAGAGCGCCTACCCTCAGGTAACCCGCTACATGGTGGTGGTCTCCACCAACGGCAGACAGGACACGGAGGAGAGCATCGTGCTCGGCATGGACTTTGTCTCCTGTGATAGGTCAGTGGCACAGCAGCGCTACAGTCTTGATGTTGTCCTGCACACATCCCCTGTATCACGTCAAACCCGGAGTTTTCTTGTTTGGTTGTGTAACGTGTTGATCTTCCCCCCCCCCCCCCTGCAGCTGTACAGTGGGTCTGGTTCTACCTCTCTGGAGTGACACTCTGATCCACTTGGATGGAGACGGGTAAGACACCACACCTACCCACTTCCTCTTACTGCTGCCTGGGGCAGCTGACTCTGCTCTACTCTGATGACTGTTATTTAGTCATTTCTATTGTAGGAAGATTTGTTGGTGTTGTAAGATGGCTATAAACTGTTAAAGGGCATCCCCTTCCTAATCTCTCTCTCTCTCTCTCTCTCTCTCTCTCTCTCTGTCGTCACAGTGGTTTTAGTGTTTCGACGGTGAACAGGGTTCATGTTTTCAAGCCAGTTTCTGTCCAGGCCATGTGGTAAGCAACATTTGTATTGTTTCCAGCCAATAACAGCTCTGTGAAGTTGCATCAAGGTTAAGTTTGCAGGCTTAGAAAGACTGTATACATTGTACTCCCCCTTTGACTTGGACCTCCAGCCTTTTATCTTTGTTACTGTTACTTATCTTCTCTCTCCGCTTCCTTTATTTATTTTTCACTATCTCTCTTCCTTCCAGCCTCTTCATTATCTTTCCCTGTCTCACATGCCAGTGCTGCCTCTTCATTTCCTTACGGGTCTTCATTTCCTTTGTCCCTTTGTTCCCTTCCTCTCCCCCCAACGTCTCCTGATACCTTCATCTATCTGCAGTCATATCTCTATTATGTCTCTTCATCGCTGCTCTTATCACCTTGTTTCTCTCACTAATTATTCAACCCGCCTCCCTTATTATATTTCTCATTTGCTTTTATTCATTCCTCACACAATTTATTTTGCACTGCGCATAATACCTCCCCTCCTTAGCCCGTTGTTATAGCCTTCTCCTGGTTTCACTTATTTTACTCTGTCAGTCATTTGAAGGACACTGTCACGTTCAGTCCAAATTTCACTCTGCAGCAGTTTTCTTTTGTCTTTTTGGCTTCGAGACAACCTCTCAAGTGTGAACCCTCCTCCTCCTCCTCACTGTGCCTCAGGTCGGCCCTCCAGTCGCTCCACAAAGCAAGCGAGGTGGCCCGCTGCCACAACCACTACCCGGGCAGCCTGTTCCTGACCTGGGTCAGCTACTACCAGAGCCGGGTCTCATCGAACCAGTTCTGCATGAACGAGTGGAACGCCATGCAGGACGTCGAGTCGCACCGTGCCAATTCACCCGTTCTCTTCACAGACCTGTGAGTAGAGACCACGTGAACACACACACACACACACACACACACACACACATTACGCAAATCCACAGTTCATACCGATGATGTAATATCTGGAATATTATTTGTTCTGTGGGGCATTCCAGTCATTTTCACAAGTTTTCATTTTGTATGCCGTGGAGGCAGAGCCCCCTTTGATGTGGAGTGCAAAATTCCTATTGAGTGAGTGAATGTTCAAATCAAAGGGTGTGTTGATTGGATACTCGCAACAAACACTGCATTTCACTCAGCAGGTTATAATACATCAACTAAACAATGTATAATGCATAAACTAAAAGAGTACAAAAGTATTTAGCGACTAAATGAAATAAAATTTACAAAACAGTTTGAATGCTGTCGCAATAGTTGCTTTTGACCAACGGTTGGTATGGTTTCCTTTTCCCTAACACTTCACTGTATCAGGACACTTATCTTGATCATGGTTACAGTGATCAACCGCTTGGAAAAGGACAGAATCATTCCTACAGAGAAGCTGTTTAGAGCCTCCACGTATCACGTAGTATAGTGTTCATTTATTCACATGAGGACATCTATCCATCCACTCGGGGATAGCGCCTGTGGTTGAAGCTGCCCTCGTCGAGTGGATTGATAATGTCTGGTCACGCAAAGCCTACAGTACGCTATATTTTATAAACGGTACTGTTCTCTATTCTAGTGTATCTGCATTATACAGGGGACAGTCATTTCATTTGAACAACTGTAGTTTGAAACAAATGAACTGTATTCTGAAGCAGTCAATAAAATGCAATAACTAGCGCAGCGATCTGTATTATAAACAAAGAAAAAGTCTTCTTTTAAAGTTAACATAATAATCATAATATAATAATCATCCGTTTTATAGAAATCATTTTGACCCGGAAAAAACAACCAGATGTGAAAAGTAACTAAAAGTGAAAGGTAATGGGTACAGCCGCTCCTTTTTATTAGAAATGGAACGTACTCCATCACAACAGCTTTGCCTCGCTACTGCAGCAGAACACTGCAGGGCATCAGTCAGCTGGGGTCGCATCGCTCCATGTAACCTCTCCGGGTGACGAGAAGCAACACAAACTAAAACAAAGTGGCAAATACTGAACTATGTGCAAATAGACACATGCTGATGAACACATGAGCCACAAGGGAACATAGAAAGCGCCGACACAGGCCGCTGGATTTATGTCTTTGCTAATATCAGAGAAATTCCCCTCTCTGCTGCTTAGTCACGTGCCCCGCGACGTATTTGGAGCGTCTCTCATTCACACACACGCACACACACACACTTCAGAGATCCTCCAGGGTCCAAAATAGCTGAGGCTTCGGTCGGCTTGATTTACTGCTGGAAAAATGGGACCCAGACAGACTAATAGATAGAGAAGCAGGTGGTAGGCAGAGGATGGGGGTCTTAGGGGGGGATTAATAAAAATGCTTCTGGATGGACAGGAGAGAGAAGCGGGGACAGACAGAGAAATCAGGGTCCACTTAAAGCTTGACTAAAAAGAAACACCCATGTTTACTGCCTGCCTGGAAACAGACTTTACTCTTCGGAGCAGGTGTGTTGGCACTCGAGTATACTTGTCATTAAGATTGCCACCTGAACTCCAACACACACATCCAAACACAACAAAGTCCCTGTTTGTTGTCCCGCACAGGGAGACTGCCAAACCGCATGACCTGCCGGTGTCTGTTGACATGGCAGCTCATGGCCTTGTAAAACCACTGTATGTGAAGTTCAGATAGCAGGGAGTGTTGTAATCTTGGCACAGTTATCGCGGTCGTTGATTAATGGGGATTACCGTGACTTCCCGTTGGCTGCTCCTCTATCAGCCGTTCAAGGAAGTGGCGTATATTTTCCATTCTTCGGTTACTCACTAGTGCCGTTCCTTGTGTCGTCACATGTGTACTTTTTTTTTTTTTTTTTTTTTGGGCCGCCCCTCCTCCAGCTCCAGGCTGTCTACGGGCAAGTCGAGGCTTGTTGTGGGGTTAAAGTTTTAGTGGGTGACCGTAACTAACCCGTATTTATTTCTCTTACCCCCATGGACTCAATCTCTTGGGGTCAAGACGTTCAGTGTTGAGGTAAACAAGCCGACTCTTTCCGATTCTTCATCACAGATGGATGCTTTATAAGCCTGCGGTTACACACTTTGTGGCCGTCACACTGACCCTCTTTGTAGCTGCTGACCCACACTGCTCTCTGCTAGTACTGTGAGGATCCAGCTAGAAGCAAAGCAAGAGAAATTTAGACAATGAAAGACAGAGAGTCTAGGAAACAAACTCCAGAGAGGTAATTAGGCCACTTGTTGGTATCATCAGTGTGACGTTCCAAAAGCTAAATGCGTCCCCCAGCAGAGTGGTTAGAAACGGAGCCAGGCACAACAGGCACAAGGGGACTTTGTTGTGGATCACTGATGGGCCACGCTCTCGGATTTTCTGTTCCCTCTCCAGTTTCTGAGAATCAGACAAAGTGGCAATTCTCTCCTGGAACAAGTAATCTCTTTGAGAGTAAAGTGAAAAAAACACTCAAAGAACAGAAGGAAAGCGTCGTTGCTGTGACTGTGAAGGTGGTTAATTGTGTCAAAGTTTTTTAATTATTTTTTTTTTTTGGCTTAGAGAAAATGTGTTTTTTCATAAAGGCGTTTGTCTCCATGTGCAGGCCCACAGAGAGGGAGCGCACAGAGAGGCTGATCAAGATGCGCCTCAGAGAGATCATGATGCAGAAGGACCTGGAGAACGTCACCTGTAAGGAGGTAAGAGGCACGCGCAATGAATGCCGTGACGTTAGCAGCTGGGTTTGACATGCGTCTTGGTTTTGCAAATGCAGCTTTACTTGTTTAGATACCCGAGTGCCAACTTTTTGGTTTTCCCCGTCCTACCAGATCCGTACAGAACTGGAGATGCAGATGGTTTGTAACCTGAGGGAGTTTAAGGAGTTCATAGACAACGAGATGATCCTCATCTTGGGACAGATGGACAGCCCCACCGAAATCTTTGAACACGTCTATCTGGTAAGAACCTATGAGTAAAAAGTGTGGATGTTTGGAGTGAACAATATACAGGAACCGTACTCAAAATCTCCCTCTTTTGTTTCACTATAGCTTGTAAGTTCTGACTCATTCTTACTTGTTTGTCATGCATTCATACACGTTGATATTAACTGTACTTGTGATGTCTCCAGGGCTCTGAGTGGAATGCCTCTAATCTGGACGAGCTGCAGAACAGCGGGTAAGACATCAGTCAGCAACCAACCCTACAAATCACACCTACTCCAGGCACACTCGCTAATATCATTTTAATAAACGGAGAGACTACGCTTCGTGAATTAAACGTTTACAAATTGAAGTTCATTGAAATGAGAGAATTCATTACCCCTGGGTTGAAACATTGCCGCTTTCAACGATACCTCACAGTCTTCATCATCAGATAACTACACTGAATAACTACATATGGATTAATGACAGTTTTATTGACACCAAGAGGTCATAAACCCACCTTTTCCTGTCTCTTATGTAGAGTGCTCTACATCCTGAACGTGACCAGGGAGATAGACAACTTCTTCCCGGGCATGTTTCAGTACCACAACATCCGCGTGTACGATGAAGAGGCCACCAACCTGCTGGAGTACTGGAACGAGACCTTCAAGTTCATCACCAAAGCCAAGTAGGCTTCAACGCACGCAAGCTTTGTCAGCTCCTACTTGGGTTCTCAGTCTTGTAATCCAACACAATTCCTCTCTCGTCTGTCTCTCTTTAGGAAAGCTGGTGCCAAGTGTCTGGTTCACTGTAAAATGGGCGTGAGTCGCTCCGCCTCCACAGTGATCGCCTACGCTATGAAGGAGTACGGCTGGGACCTGGACACTGCCTTTGACTATGTCAAAGAGAAACGGGCCGTCACCAAACCAAACCCTTCCTTCATGAAACAGCTGGAGGAGTATCAGGGAATTCTGCTGGCCAGGTGTGCTTTCATGTAAAAGCAGCTCTGCAATATGCACGTTCTTCAGGGAGCATGTTGGCGCTAACAAACTGTTGTTTCTCTTCGCTTCCACAGCAAACAAAGGCATAATAAGCTATGGCGCTCGCACTCTGACAGTGAGCTATCGGATCGCCCAGAGTCCATGTGCAAAGCCTCGTCTCACTCGTTGGGCCGCTCCGACTCGCACAACAACAACAGTTCCTCGCCCTCCTTGCATCACTTCCTGGGCGTGGCCGTGCTGCAAGCGCTCGGCGCGGAGCCCGGAGGCTCGGCCAAGACAAACGGCTGTGACTCCCACGCAGACTCCAACGGTGTGTGTGACTCACCGGGTCAGGAGGAGGAGGAGGAGGTCGGATCCGATTGCGGAGACCCCCTCCTGCTCCCCCTCCCCAGACCCCGGGCAGCCACCGTCGTCCCGGAGGAAAGACTGGACAATTCCACCAGCGTGGCTGTCACTGTGCCTGTTGCTTTGCCCCACCCTCCGCCATCGCTCCACATCTTACCCCCTACTCCTGAACTCCAACGTGCTCACCGGGGTCCCCCCACCCATCTGTCTATTTCAGTGCCCAAACACAGACCGGTGGAACTGTCCCTCAATCTGCCCGAGCGAAGCAGCTCGGAAGAAATCTCTCCTCTCACTCTGGGATCCGCTGACTCAGACGTAATAGACCAATCATTATCAGACGTTACAAGTGACAAGCAGAGCCCCCTCAGCCCTGCGAACATCACGCTTCTTCCGCTTGCTGCCAGTGACGACAACAACAACCCCAGCGAGCTGCAGATAGGCAGCGGGCGCGGCGAGGCCGACGGGTCGTCCAACCACAGCACGGACAGCATCGACTTCTTCAGCGCCAGGGAGAAGTTTCTGGGCCTGGCCCAAGACGGCAGATCCCGGACGCTTTCTGAGCAGGCACAGCAGAGGACACCTCTGTCGTTTGAGGAGAACGAAGAAACTGAGGTTAAGGAGGAAGAGGAGCAAGGCTATGGGAGTAGTCAGGTACACTGTCATTCAGCTTTATCTCTGTTAACGTTTCATCTTTGCTAGTACAACATGCTTCCTGCAGAAAGATCTGTGTGTTACATTTGCAATGCAAAAGTTACCCCAGTCTGCCCAGCCTACTGTCACAGCAGCATCTCATTTTGTATTCATATTCTGGACTGCATGTTTAATTCAAGAGGCCCACAGCCATGCAAAAAGAGTTAAATGTGAGGGAAAGGTTTTCTTTTGCACTGTGGTATTATTTCAGCCAAACTTTATTGTTGCCTTTAGAGATCCAGTTCTACCAACACACCAGTCTGTGATGACACAAGCAGCAGATTTCTGCACAGCGGGTCTGGAAGTAAAACTGGAATCTGACTGCACGAGAATTAGTTTCTAAGGCTGCAATCACACCGAGTCAGTGGGTAGTGCGTTTAGGCTGCAGCGTTGGGGATGCCGGAAAAATAAACCGCAGTGGCCACTGCGGAGAAAAGCTGAATTAGAATCAACGTTTGGAGAACAACAACCCGGCGGCACGCTGCGGCGGCCAATCTCGTAAACTGGCAATCCGACTGCAAGACGCCCATGGAGATATGAGCAGCATGCGTGTGACCAAAACACGATGTGTAACATGATGTGTCTCGTGTAGTCACTCCAATTTTAGCTTCATGCACTAGATTAAACCCCACCATTTTGAAAGGCCTCGCATCCTGATTACTTGTTGAAGTTGAAATTGAATCTGTTGATGCAGACAGACTCGTAGGCCGGGCATACTAGCAGCGAGACACTCCAGCCCCGCTGCACAACCCTGCTCTCATCGTCGTAGCGCTTGTGAATGCAGCCAAAGGACTTCAAGGTAGCAAATGAACTGAGCCAATAGCACAGATTCCACACGAAATCTTTATGAATCACAGTGACACCTCCTGGAAGATGAGAGAACAGTCCAGATAATATAGGAACACGTGCCACTCGTTTGTCTCCTCTTAATTTCTATTGCGATGTCCGATCGATGGTGTTTTATGTATAACAAGACAATAACTCATATTTTATGCACACGTCTCACTTGCTTGCTCTTTTTTTTTTTTGTCTCTCAGGCATCTCCACAGTCTGATGACGGCGTTGACAAAGCCAGCCCTGACCGAACTTCCCCTGACAATGGAGTGTCAGTCCGCCATATTGTCACAGAGATTGAAGCCATATGCCACCCTGCCTCCTGCCTTCCTGCCTCCTCCTCTGCGTCCCTCCCTCCACCCTCCCACAGCCCCCAGGTCATCCGATCGGACCATCAGACGGAGGCGGAGGCTGCCGAGGTCACGCACGGCTCTCTGACTCCTCCCTCCCACCCGCAGTCTCCCTCCATGCTGCCGTGCGACTGGCCGGCGGGCTCGGTGCGGCGAGCCACCGAGCAGCTGGAGCAGAAGCTGAAGCAGGAAATGGAGATGGCCGCGTCGCAGCGATCTCCGCTGCATTCCCCCAGCGCGGAACAACCTCCGCTCAGACTGTCCCTGTGTCCCCTGAGCGCGGAACATCCTCCCGTTGGCTTGCCTCAGGACTCCACAGAACGAAGGATCACTCAGGGAGAGGTCGCTGCTGTGTCTGCCAAGTCCAAAGACGAAGAAAAGCACACGGGGTCACAAACGGAGCTCAACTCCTCAAGCACAGACGACCTCCCCGACTCAGATATCAGCCGAGTCTCTGGTGCTACACTGGTCATTGTGCCCACTTCCATAGACAGCCACATGTTGACCTCATCACTGGCCTCTGCTAGTCAGTTAGAAGAATCATCTCGAGATACCTCAGCCCAGTCCCAAAGACAAAGCCAGCTCCAAAGCCAGCAACATCAGAACCAGGCCAGTTCACACCAAATGACTCTGGATGGGGCGACAGCGCAGGAGTCGGACACAGACGAGAGGCCGGAATCCGGTTCTGAGTTCCGGCGAGGGGGCTGTGGCCCCAGCTGTGACGCCGAGAGCAGGCTGGCCCGTGGCAGCCAGGAGCTGGAGAGGATTCAGCAGACTCTGAGGGAGCTGCAGGCTTTCCTCCACGAGGGCGTCAGCCGGGAGATGACGGACAGCCAAGACCAGGAACCGGGGCAGCCTCAGGGGCCGAGAGACGTTATGGACACGGAGCCAGAACCTTGTAAAGGGTCGAGTTCTGAACGGACCCTTCCAGACATGGAAGTAGGCCAGCGGCGGCGAGAGAGACAAGAGGGGAAGAGTTTCCTGGAGCCGATAGTGTGGCACAGAGCCATGGAGCTCGAGGCTCGTATCCGCCAGGCGGGCCTCACCCCCCCCCTCTCTAATGAAGAGGTCGGCCTCCTTGGCTAAACTGGACTGTCTGGAGCTGTCGGCCAACGACCTCAGCGACTTGGACCTGAGGACACACACCAGGGCGACGTCATCACATTCCCAGGACTCTTTCTCCGTGTCCACGTCTCACCCCGACGACACCTGGAAGAAGCAGAAAGTGTTGGCTCGCAGCGCTCACGTTGAAAAGACAGGTCTGTCCCACGGCGGCGGGGAATTTGCAGAGTCATCCTCGTCGCCCTCCCTCTGCATCTCCTCGTCCTCCTCCCCTGCACCTCGCTGCTGTCCAAAAGACGACACGGGTGAGAGGGAGGAGCCGGACGGGAGCGGCGCGGTGGCGCCGACGCGTCAGCAGGGCAGGGGACACTCGTCGAGACGATCTCGCAAAGGCTCCGCTGAGAAAAAGCAGCGAGCCGTCACTGTGCTATACAACACCATGTAACCTCAGCGCAACGGACTGGAAGGGACGCGACTGGAGCCGCGCAGATGTGTGAGAGAGACCGCATGATGCGTACGAATGTGTAGCAGGTAAACTGGAGACCTCGTGTGACCTCCGATACGTAACCATACGTTTAGTGTGTGTGAGAACTGAATTAAAAAAAACATGTTTGCATGTAAACCACTGGATGTGTTGTTTCAACTGGAGTTCAGGTTTGTATGTACAGTAATGAACTATGAATGTGCAGATGAAGATTGAACCCGTGCATACTTTATGCACTCCATTGTGTCTCGCTCCCATATTTTTTTAAAGAAGCGTTTGTTTTCAGTGTTTGACCCTCACTGCCTGTTTCTACAACTATGAGGGCTTTTTCTCCAAACAATGCACTTTACTGTTTCAATGGTTTTATTTTATTTGGAATGTTTCTTACCCCGGGGAGGATTCTTTTGCACTGATCTCGGTCGACTTGTCTTTGGAGCATGTGTTTTGTTGTTTGTTTTCAAAGTGCACAGACACATGTCTTTATTCAGATTTTAATTGAACCAGGACAAAGATGATACCATGTTTTGTTTTTTTAATTCAATGCTTTAGCATTAAATAAATGTGGTGAGTTTGTTTTGAATGCTGTGATAGTGTGCATTTGTTTTGTGTTAAGATGTGCTTCATCGGAAACAAACAAATATTTGAAGAAAAGGGAAAAAATGAAGGTGATTATGGGCTACAGATGCTGAAGTATTGGCGACATCACTGCCACCTGCCGGCCAAGCGGAGAACTACAGTGTTGAACCTGTCCTGCAGCACCGGGGGGGGGGCAGATCTCCGTCGGCGCTCGGCGCAGCTTATTTCAGGCTGACATTCTACCCACCGTTTCATGAGGGTAATTAAGTGGTGGGATGGAGGCCACCGGGGCCCCTGCTGTCGCCTTCAGTGAAACCGCAGCGGGAGAATATTGCTGAAGTAAGAGACGGAACTATTAGTGAGATTGAGATAAAAGGTTAACCTTCTCTTAACTGTAGCCGCAGCCATAAGCCTTCCGTGTGGTTAGCAGAAGCTCAACGATTTTTTTTTTTTTATACGATGAATTATTTTGTATTATTGTATAGTGAGTTATTATGACATGCTATACTATGACTGTATTTTATGACTCAACTATGATTTTAATGTCTTTGACATTCTATTCTATGAAATGTTTTTTTTTTATACTATTACTTGTTTAACATACTGTACCATGATGGTGGAGGAGAAGAGAGGTTACGTGAGACTTCCTCTTTGCATATTGATGCTCGCAGCTTCCCTGTCTCTCAGACACGCACGCGCGCACACACTTTGTTTAGTCTGTGGCTCTTTACAAATTCACTTCACACACGCCTGCAGCCCAGTGCTTCCGCCGTCCTGGTGTTATTCATAATGCCGAGCTGAGTCAGGGCAGTGCAGAACCTGCGGCTGCATACTGCTGATTCACTGGGGAAATGGCTTCAGTCTCTCCAGCCCGCCACCCAATCACAGAAAGCAGCCTTGGTGCTCTGAGTGGGGTTTCTTAGAGGTGTTAGGATCTCTAAACCGTCCTTTTCCTCGCTGTCAAGCCTTAAATAACTACAGGCATACCCCCCCCCCCCCCCTTGGATTAGGCTGAGGCGCTGGGAATCCATGTCACAGGGAGGATGATGGAGGTGGGAGCTGCTAAAAAACAGATCAACTCTCTGGTGCTGAGTGACGCTGCAGCTTCCCCCTATCTCGTGAGAAATTAATTGCCTTTGTCACCATCCTTCACTCGAGAGGACCGGAAGACTAACTTACAGTGGAGCGCTGCAGCTGAAACTTGGTGTGGGGGGGGGGTCAGGGGATTTGAAGCATGTGAAAGCTGTAATTTAAAAATAGATTTAAAAAAAATAACCCACTCATGCAATGCTGTTCCAAAAGATGTTTCTTTATTTGAATCATTATCTCAACTCAAATCCCAGCATTCACCATGAAAACATCTCGCTGCATTTATTTTCTGCAATATTTTTTAAAAAGTAAAAAAATGAATATTATATTCTTATCAATTAGGCAAGCTTAAATGTGAATTGGAGAGGAGTAAGAGGTGGCTCTCCTCAGTTTGTGCTGATAGTGGAGTGTGAAAGTTGTACATTTCTTTTGAAGAAATAATATTAAATTAAAGAAGGAAAAAAAAAAACAAGCTGTGCCCGTCCGCCCTCGTCCCTTGCAACAAAACTGCAAATGTTCCTCAGTGCTTGGCTCGCCTTGAGCCCTGCAACATGTTACTTACATAATGAGAGCCAGACTGAACAATACCTCCAATCCAAGAACAAAATGCTCCACAGTTGTTGTTTTTGGGGCGATTTTAGATTTGTTTTCAACATTCTGTGTTGTTGAACCAGCTTGCTTGTAGAGTAAAATCTCAAATTGCTGTCAATCGCCTCTACAGTGATCCTTTCACTCAGAGAGCGTGCTCTGATGTTGCAGGACTCCAGGCTAGACTCAAGTCGTACAAAATGAACCTCACACGTGTGCAGACCATGCTGAAATATTGCACACATTGTACCGTGACTTTGAAGAAATCCTCCGCTCACGTGAGGTGAGAGGATGCAAAAGTACACAAACATTTCTATTCCACAGTCCACTGACAAAGCACTATCAAGTCCCTTTTTAGTTTTAATTACACACAGGCCAGCCACAAACTCATTCAGTCACATACAATATAGTTAGTGCACCAAGAGTTCATCTGGCAGCCTCATCAAATCTGTGATTGTCGGGCTAAACCTTTAGCTTGTGCTCATACTCGTCATCTACATCCAGCAACAGTCATATACTGTACGTGATCTGCCCACAAGCTAAATACAGTACATCTGGATTTTGTGCAAATAAAAAAAAAATGTAACTTAAACACTTTTTTTTTTAAAATGACTATCATTAAATGTCATGTTTATCAACATTCAACTCGACTTGATCGAGAAGGTTACAGTATTCTCCAACACCACTGGTCCTGCTCTGCAAACACAACCGTTTTTTAAATAGTTAAGACTGAAAACCACACAACTCGGTGTTACAACACTGAGCGCGTGTGTGTGTGTGTGTGTGTGTGTGTGTGTGTGCGTGTGCAGAGAGTCGGGCCTAACACAGTATGTTTTCAGGACAGAAGGTGACCTGTTGACAACTGTGCTGAGAGCTGGTTTTGAAAGACACACACAGATATACACACACATACTTGCAAACGGACAGAAATCACTCATCCAAAGAGGCATTCCACTAAACTTGTTGTATTGGATGTATTGTTGGTTGTAAACTGGCACGGGTCGAGAAATGACAGTACCACGTGGCACCAGAAAGAGGAAACTGACGTGTCTCTCTGGCTGTCTGAGGCTCGAGAACCAGATCACTGTATGGCTTCATGGGAAAGGTCTGGCGAGGGAGATGGGAGAGAAAGGAGGAGGCCAATTGAGTGTGCTTAATAAGTACCCTATACTGCCCTTTTCTCCCATGTGTCCTTGGTCCAGACCCCTCCCCTCAGACCCCCGCTGGGCCACTCGGCTCTCATTTCTCCATGAGTGACAGCCGGATGATGCGCTGCAGCTCTGCCTCTTCCTGCCGCCGCCGGAGCTCCGCCTCTTCCTGCTCTCGAGTCGAGATCTCCATGGCAATGCGCAGCTGCTCGTCGTAGCTGCAGGTGGTCGGCTGCTTCTTGGAGGGGGTGGAGCAGAGGCTGGAGGGGGCTCGGGGCTTGTGCTGGGGGGTCCTGGGGTGAGGAACAGTGAAGGGGGTAGAGGATGGAAGAACACAGGTTGAAGGGCCCACTCTAGGACTAAAAGTGCAGACTGGATTGTTGATTTATCAATGTTAAATGTAGATTAATTTAAAACGTTTGCTGTCGGCTTATCGTGCCTTTCGACCTTTAGTAATGACTTTATCGACATGCTCAGCTTTAGAATTAATGGCTTATTAGAAGGTTAGCCCCAAATGCAGCCATACAAGACATTATGGTAACACCAAGGACACTGTATAAGAAAAGGACAAAATGTCTGGATTATAAACCGGTAATAACCCATAAGTGCTACCATGTTCTCCATTCTAGTTTCCATCTCAAGTGTATTTTAGACTCTCTGGGATAATTTAATTCCTGTCTTGAAGAGGACATGTTGAAATTTCTTTTTTTTAATTTCATAATAGTCAGAAGTCTCTATAATGCATGAAGAATCATTTGTTTCGAGGTATCACGATGATAAGATGTTCGACATAATATTCAATCAAAACAGCCAAGATTGCATTTGCCTTTTTACCCCTTACAGTCCGTGAATTAAAGAACACCACAATTGCTTTCAACCCCAGTTTCCTCCAACATTATAACACTGATGTAAGTAAACACTGCAACAGAAAGATTGTGTCAAATAAGGGAAAGACTGTGTTTCTATCCACTCCTCTACAAACAGGGGGAAGAGAACACCATCTGAAGATAACACGCTTAAGTCAACAGCAGTACTGCTGACTAGGAAAGCAGGAAACTCCCCATCCTCCAGTCTCCCCCTTTTCACACACACACACACACACACAGCAAATAGGAGATGAAAGGAGAATAGCAGGATGGATAAGAGAATAGAGTTGGGGAGGACAGGACGTGAGTCAGGGATGGCGTGAGAGATCTGCAGGATGGAAAAAAAATACAATGGAAGACTGTAAGACAATGATGAATGACAATATGTAACAGAAGTGACAATATAGGTGAAGGAACAGCAGGAAGTATCACTTTTGTCCTGACAGTCATGGAAATTTATGGGTTTTTTTTAGGATTCCAGCTCTTTTGAAGATGCTGGTTGTGTCCTGATAATAGAGGGGTTGGACTATACGGTAATTACGGTAAAACTGCACTTAAAACTCACCTATTCAAATCTGCTTTTAACCTCTAGTCATGTATGTTTTCTTTCTTTCTTATGTTTATTTTATTTTATTTTTATTTTTCTTACTGTTATGTCGTAGATTTTGTTCTTATTATAAATGCTTCTATTGTTTCTGTTTTTAACATGTAAAGTGTCTTTGAGTGCCTTTTAAAGCGCTATATAAATAAAATGTATTATTATTATTATTATTATTAATTTAAAAGGACAGAGAGCAAGACTGAGGATAAGAGAAAAGGATGGAAAAAGACAGAAAAAGACCGATGCAGGGGATTAAAGAAAAAGAGACGTCTGACCTCTCCAGACGACTTGGCTCAGGGGGCAGAGTGTGTGTTCCTGGCTTGCTGTTGGTCAGCGCCTCCCAGATGGTCACCTAGACACAAAGAGGAGGTACAGGAAGTCAGAGAGCGAACACAGGAAGTGGGTATAGTGGACAAATAAAGAGATGGTGGTGCATGTAAAACAACAGCATCCTCCCTGCAGGCCTTTTCCTGTTAATGTATGCTAAAGTACCTCTCACACACAGCAAGAGCAGGCTGGCTGTATTATGCATTATGAACTGAATGTGAACTAGATCGATCCTGGCCTTGGTTCTTTTGTACACTCGCCCAACATTAATATTGATAAGCACCTGTTTAAAACACTACACAATTAATACACCTTGTACCATTTGTTATAAACAATGACTTTAAGGATCGGATGTTTGGCCTGATTTCACAACAGAGTGTGCATGTGATCAATTTCAACAGCATGGTTCCTGTGTTTTTGCTCGACCTTGAGGCCCTGTCTCATAACCTAGTTAAAATACCTTTCACGTTTACTTGTATTATGTAACATGTATCTGGGGCGCTCAGTTGAGGCCCCTTATATCAGCCTCGGTTCCCCCTGGCTGGTAATTCCCTCCCTGTTCCTCCCTTCTATCGGGTCCCAAATTTAAGTTCAGTACACTGTGAATATCTAATTTGAGAAACTCACATGAATTTATATGAATCTTGGTTTCTTTGACAAAGTTGTGTGCTTATGCGGCGCGAGCTCTTCACAGTTGAATGATCAGGCAAACATCTGTGTTTGCAGACTTCCCTCCCGATTCTTTGTGTGCTGCTTTTGTCCTGCACCAAACTAGGGTTGCACATGCAAACTACCAACATTCTTCCACTACCTACCTATGACAAAAAAAAAAACATCTCCCTGGCTGCAACTTTGAATAACCTTTCATGACACTGCAAGTTAAGATTCATACTGTAGTAAATTTAAAGGAAAATGTAAATGAAAGATGGGAAATTACAACCTAATGGTGTTTGAGAAGATGATAGGCAATTTGTAAAATAGTTAATGCTTTGTATGCTTTACATGAAATGTCAGCAGTATGGTCCCTTAAAACTTGTCCTGCTTGAGTTGTAATGAAAAAAACGCCACATTTTCCATCAGCAGCAGTACAAAAGCTCCGGACAGGAGGCTGCCGAGGATGATTGTACAAACTGTGCACAAATCCTCAGCAGCAACCTTGCTTCTGCCTCCCCTCCTGTATCCAAGCTAAGAAAGCACTGAGGATGTTCTCTGACCTGCCTCACAGAGACTATTTATACTTCTCTCTCTGTACCGCTGGAAGAAGGCCAAGTCATATCAGGACCAGGATCTCTGGGATTTCAAACCAGCACCTATCCTGGGGCAGTGCTGAGAGTATAATGGGTCTGGGCTCCACACATCACAGGTAAATTATTCTGCTTATTGATTGTTTATGTTTTGAAAGTGGCCGCTTTTTCCCCTGCTGCACTGTGTCTATTTGTCTGGTATTGCTTGACTTATTGGTGAATTTACTGCTGTAATTTGTACTGGATATCTCAAAGGGGGAGTTATTGGGCACCTCTGTTGATATGGCAACATGGCTTTGTGAACCTTGAGAGTGTTGTGTAAAACATTTGCAATCTGTGCTAATTTAGTACTTCACAAGGAGAGAGAAGAGGAATATAGTGCAAAAGCCAAACATCTTCAACACAATAAGATAATTGACTGTAATCAGCTCACCTGATCATATTCGGAGCCGGCCTCCAGCAGACTCTGCTGTATGGCAAACTGCAGCAGGTCCTCCTCCTCATCCCTCATGCTGTCTCTCTGTTTGCCCCCGAGCATGGAGTATCCAGGCGGGGGCTCAAACACACATGGGGGAATCTCTCCGGCTCGACATGACACTGCAACACACGGGGACGGCAAAGGGCAACGTTATGTCAATAACTTGCAGACCGCAGCTTCAGTTCACACATTTCACTTTATTGGCCCAGGTTCTGCAGTAAATGTTAGTGGAGATTTAAACTACAGCTTATTGAAAAAGAATCTGCTGAATATAAAGTTGAGCTGAGACTCATCTGTAATTTTATCAGCTGAAGAAGAAGATTTCCAAAAAGACGGCACTGGTAGTGTGTATGGGAGTGTGTTCCTACTGGTGGAGCTGGAGCTGGAGACGCTGGAGGAGTCACTGCCAGGAGATGGGGTGTCTGTCCTCGGGGTGTCCCTCTGTCCGTCCCCCTCCACCCCCACTTCGTTGTCAGCCCGGACGCCAGTCCCTTCCTCGCAGCCGTTCAGGTTGCTGAAGGTGATCCTGGCATTTAGGATGTGGTAGAGAGGGATCTCTGCAGGGAGTGGAGAGAACATGAGCAGAAGGTGACATCTGTTTGCGTCTTTGCATCGGTCTCATCATCCAGTTAATCCTTTTATCAATTCTTTTATTTTACGTGAGCATACTTGCAATTTCTTCTGTCCTTTTTACTCACTTTATCTTTCTGTCTTCATTTCTTTCCATCCATCTTTGTATCTATTGTAATTTCCCATCGTACCCCTTTATTTAACCAGCCATCATTTCAAACTCCCCCACCCCCCCTCAACCCTTCCATCCGTCTCACTCTCCCAGCACTCACCGATCTTGACAGGGAAGCCAGGCGGCAAACGCAGAGTGATGAAGTCTCGCAGCTTTGCGAACAGGGCGTTGGAGATTGCCATGAGATCGATGATCGGCACCACTTGTTCTGCCAGGGACAGAGGGTGGGACTCGCACAACCACAACTTGGCTTTAAACCTGGAAACAAGAACACAAACACAAACACAATCTGAGGACATGGATGACGTGACCAAATACAATCCTGGGTGCAGAAGAAATTTATGTCTTCATTGAAGTGATGAGCTCTTTGACCAGACGTACACAAAGACATTGATTACATCAGCTAACTGTTCACAAGCTGCTTGCTGAGTCGTATTGAAATTGAGGCCAATCAATGGTTATATTTTAACTTGTCTGATAATCAACACAGCATTGGGAGGCAGCTCATTATGTCAACAATGAAACTTTCAAATAAAAAAGACAGACAGTCCGATAGTCAGAGGAACACAGGGCAGATGATTGTACAGCAGGTTGGCAGGTGGATTAGAGAAGCAGGATATTGAAAACCAGTATCATTACAAATAAATAGCATAACATTCATACTGAGAGAAGCTGCAGGGTTCTTTGAAATATTTTTTTGTTTTGTTTCCTCAAGAAAAGATGACTTGTCATGAGCAGATTGAATATGTTTCTTTTCCCCTGACTATTATTTGTCCGTGTTTCCCCTCAGGATCTCGGTGGGCAGCTGCCATGAACGGCTGATTTGACTCTGCCTGCATGTCTGTGTGAGCCTGTCTAATCTCTGTCCATCAGCTTGTCAGCTCTGGCACTTGGCGGTGAGTTTTTTGGGAGGGGACTTCACTGTAAGCATGGCTGCCTGTCTGTTTTTCCGTCTGTCTGTGTCACCTCTGGGTCTTGGTGGTGAGCTGGCACGGGTGGCCAATGTCCCTCTGAGTCGGTGACAAGCTGGGGTTGAAGTATTCCTCAGCTGTCAGCGCTGCGGGGTTGGTCGTCACAGGACACGTCATCTGGGTCACCAGGGCCTGCGGAAAGTAAATTAGGAATTTTAACAATGTAGCCACATTTTGAGCCTGCTAAAGACTGGAGGAAAAGAAGAACAAAATTCTTTCCATGTTGTTGCATTTTCCTTTTAGTTGCAGTCAATTCTTCACAACCAATTTAATGTTTAGTAAAATTGAAACATTACAGCTTTGCAGTGGCACAAAGTGTCTGCAGAGCATCCGCCTAAGCCCCAGAAATAACCACAGAGTCGTGTGTCTTTGTTTGTAGAGAGGACAGAGAGGCATAAAGCGGAGAAGAGCAGAGGTGACAGTGAGGGGGAACAATAACACAAAAAGAAGGAGGGAGGGACGTATGAGTCATCGAAGCTCTCCAGCAGAAACAAATTAAGAAAACATAATCAATATTTGGGAGCAGGTTGGAGTCCCTGACCTATTGTTTCACTCTGCAGGCACGCTCTCCTGTTGACACAGAGGACCAGGATTCATACACTATCCACATCCAATGAGTTCAATGGTGATGATGCCAATATTAAAAACCCTGATTCATTCTTGACCACCAGCACCAGAACCCATTAATCACACTAATCACACTAATCACATTGATCACATTAATCACTTTAATCACATTAATCACTTTCCTTGTTCCCTACTCAACCACTGTGCGTTTTGAATTTATTAGATTGGGTTTGAATTGATTTGCCGACATTTCCTCAACTCGCAGAAGAAAACAATGCTTCATTGAAACATAACACAGGAAAATCCCTAAAATTGCAATTTTAGCATCTAAATAAACTGTCCACTTACGACGTTATTCGGTCCCATGTGTTGCTCAGCAATCCCAAGGAAGTTCTGCAGTGGAGTCTTCCCACCTGCTCACAGACAAACAGCAGTGACGAGTTAGATTAAACTCAAACTGTCCTGTTAGTCTGAGTTTTAGAAACACTACACTACACTACAGAGCACCCAAAGCTGGCTTCAGCTGCTGCTCGTTTATCAGGAGATGATGAAGAATGTGCTCATTAATCTCCACTGTGGTGTCATTCTGCTCCACAATGTTTTGCTCAAGACAACTTATCGCATTTTGTGTTGTGGTCTTGTCATCGACTACGGGCCAGTATTAAATAAACAGAGCCACTCTGGACTGAATTGAATTTAACTGAAGTAAATTATGCTTTTAAGCCGCTACATAACAGTAGAGTCAATCCAACATATTTTTCTAAATATCAGTGGACCTGAAACTAGCAGCAATATGAAGTTCATGAAAAATGAAACACCTGAAAGTCATGAGAGAAATATGAGCAGCATGTTAGTGTGTGGCTTGTACTTTCAGATGGAAGCGGTGCTGTGGTTGTCGTCACTAACCAGACACTGAATGAGTGCTAAAAGCAATGCAAAGGTCCATCAATTAGTGTTAATGACAGCGGCGTCACGGTGTGTGTTCGAAGACAAGTGTCCACATTTAGACCTTCCGACCGCTGATCAGTGTACAGCTGCTGAAGATACAGTATGTGTCTCTCTTGGGATATATATATATATATATATATATATAACACTCATACGTTTTTTCTACCGTGTTGACAAAATGATGATAAGTAGCACAAGGGAAGAAGGGCAAATGCAGTGAGTCACCCATTCAGGAGACAGTGTAGCGCTTCCAAGAACCCTCCCCTGCTGTATATTAGCAGAGTGCAGATGTGGATTGTGACCTGGGAGAGTGGAGCCCTCAGAGGGGCATGTGACGGTTGATCCTCGCTGACAGCGACAGTCTGGGGAGAGAAGCCTGCTAATCCTGTTTGATTTATGATCTGAACCAGAAAACCAGACAGAGACACCGATCTAACGTCACAGGCTGCTAGCCGGAGCCTCGCGGGGGATCTCATCGAGCTCAGGTGAGAGGGATTACTCATCAGTAACTCTTTTATCAGATGTAACACTTGGGCTGAGGGTTACAACGGCACGGAGGGGATGATGGAGAAATTCAGCTGGTGCAGCTGTGATGCACCCGCACCTTCATGGCGCAAGAGGTGACGATGTCTAAGGCACTGAAATAAAGTGACATACCTTTTGTCTTGTTCTTGTTCTGATCTGACAGATGGTCAGTTCTGGTCCTGGTGATCAGCTCCACATTGGATGCTGCGTACACCTGAAAGAGGAGGAGACAATTCACTTTTCTGTTCTGTTGACAGCGGCATAACTTTCTTATTTAATAACAATAATATGATTAATTATTATGATAATGATCATTGCAAAATCAACCAATTTAGTCCTAATATGACCCAATATGTATAAAACTATTGAAGTGGTACCTCTGCCATGAAATGCAGAAATGGGTATACAGTATTGTTGTTACATTGGTTCCTATTGTTTACCAAAAGGTCCTTCCCAGACAAGGAGATGTATGTACGTTATTCTGATGTAACTTTAGTTTGATTAGACCCCAGAGAAGTCTTGATTCACTGTTTAACCTCTGATCACCATTAGAGATAAAGATTGTCGGTAGCAAATGAGAGGCAAAGCTGAATCTGAAGTGAAAAAGTAAAAGAAAATGCTGACTCAGCCTTTTGTTTTCTTCATTATTTATTCATTTAAATGTTAGAGTGCCCTCATTTTTACAGCATAAATGAACAGTGAGCCACTGTTTACATTTGTTAGAATAAGAGAAAACTATTTGAATCTTTTGTTTTTTTCACTATATCTAAAATGTACAAAACCTATCAATCCACTTGTATTCCCAGTCTGCTTCATCATACGGCTTCTCCAAGCTGCAGTCCACAGCAGAATACTGGAATTCTTCACCAGTGACCACAAAAAGGAAATACTGATTAAAAATTGAGCAGGCTGCTGATTCTGAGTTTACACTGGACGACGGACAAGTGGAGGCGAGAGCTAGAAAACGTCCAGTAGGAGAGCAGCTCAACAGGAGTTGTCTGTTTACGTTTGTAACTCTGAATCAATGATGCAGAAAATAGAAGCTTTCCAAGCAGCAGTGTTTTACTGTAGAGCCTGTCTGAAGTGCTTTTAAACCACTGGTGACAGATGGTCCTGGGTGTCTGACTCCCATCTATCCCTCCAGGGTTTCAAGAAAACAAACGGGGTCAAGGTAATGCATGTGTCTGCGGGATGGATAGACTTCTTGTTTTGAACTAAATTTGATGGGCCCGCTGGTCTTTTAAGGGCTGATGAATTTTCCTCACTTTAAGGTAAAGAATTCTGGTTTCATTATTTGAAACTATAGAAGCTTGCGTCCTCCAAAGGTTTTTAAATAGCTTTGCGAGTGATTCTTTCTTGAAATGACTCTCTTCAAGAGAAGTGGACTTTTGGGAAATATAAAATTGAGCTCTGGCAGCAGTGGTTTCTCTGGACAGAGCGAGAGATCAGTGAGCTGTCCGAGCAGCCTGCGTTCTACCTTGGCTTCATATCCATTCACTGTCTCAGTCTTCTCGCTCCTCCAGCCCAGTATACCTGTCTTGTTCCTGCAACAGAGATTCAACACATGCCACATCAGTTCCCTGTGGACTCGACTTCAAGTCAACAACACAGTTTTTGTGGATTATTCTCCTGTCTCAAGCAATCTGCAGATATGTACCGGTAGAGGAAATCATGAATACAGATACATTTGCAAGTCACAGGTTCTGCTTTTTCTCAATAATATGCAGCCAGAAAACATTTCAGCCATTGTCCTTGTTTGTCGTCTGTGCTTCAACAGTTCAGTGTGCAATTAGGTCGTCTGCCCAGAAGTTAGTGAGGCATATCCCATCCTCGTGATCTATTCACATCACTGACTTCCTTCAGGACCCCACCACAGACAGTGAGTTCTCAGGGACGATATTAGCTCTTATATTTGAAAGGTCATCGTGTCTTTGAAATGATAGCCGGTATATTTACAACCTATCTTAAATTATGTGACAATTTTGGAAGAAAGGTTTTTCAGACATGCTGGTGGTGTGGCTTTAGGTTTGGCAAAATCAATGGCAAAAATGTGTACAAACATTCATGTTCCCCTCAGGATGAATTGCAGTTACTTTGGTTATCCTCTGATTGTTAATTTAACAATATAATCAGGTAACATTTCTACTTTGTCCAATACTTTGGTTTATAAACCAAATACCATCCCGCCAGAGGAAACTTCTTGGACGACCATCTGGTCTCCCTGGGCAATGCAACAATACTTTCATAATGCCCTTGCAACACTGTATATCACACTTTGACAGCACCATATGATGTTATGTCAGCTTTGCACCTCAATGCAATGGAACGACCAAATACTTGCCAAACTAATTGCATTCCAATCAATCTTAGCTGTCATTGTGCTTTGCACTAATAAGCAAATGGTAGCATGCAAATACGCTAAAACTAAGATGGTAATCATGGTAAAAATGACTTGCTAAACATCTGAGTTACATCATAGCTCAATTACTCAATTGTACAGTAAACCTTCTACAAAACTGCAGTGCTGTAGATTGTGTGCATGGCTGCGTGAAGACGTATTAACTCAGAATCACAATCGGCTTTATTGGCAATGTATGCGTGCGCATACATGGAATTTGACTCCGGTTACACATTACTCTCATCGTATATACACACATATGAAATATATACAATAAACAAGAGATATATAAGAAAAACAAGGACATTTAACAGCTATATACAATATAAGTATAAATATATCCCAAACAAAAGTGTGTATGTATATATATATAAAATACAATAGTGCAAACAGAGGCAGTGCAATATGACTTATTTAATTGTTCATGAGAGTGACGGCCAGTGGAAAGAAGCTGTTCCTGTGTCTGGTGGTTTTGGTGTACAGAGCCCTGTAGCGCCTACCAGAGGGGAGGAGTTGGAACAGCTTGTGTCCAGGGTGTGAAGGGTCTGCAGAGATCTTTCCAGCCCGTTTCCTGACTCTGGAGGTGAACAAGTCCAGGATGGAGGGCAGGCTGGAACCAGTGATCCTCTCCGCAGACCTGACAATCCGTTGTAGTCTGTTTCTGTCTTGTTTGGTGGCCGATCCAAACCACACAGTGATAGAGGAGCAGAGAACAGACTGGATGATGGCTGAGTAAAACAGGATCAGCAGCTCCTGAGGTAGGTTGAACTTCCTGAGCTGGCGCAGGAAGTACAACCTCTGCTGTGCCTTTTTCCGGATGGTGTTGATGTTGGAGGCCCACTTCAGGTCCTGGGAGATTGTGGATCCCAGAAACTTGAAGGTCTCCACAGCGGATACAGTGTTGTTGTGTATGGTGAGGGGGGGCAGTGTTGGGGGGCTCCTCCTGAAGTCCATTGTCATCTCCACAGTTTTGAGCTTGTTTAGCTCCAGGTTGTTCTGACTACACCAGAGGACCAGCTGTTCAACCTCCCGCCTGTACGCAGACTCATCACCGTCCCCGATGAGGCCGATGATCGTTGTGTCGTCTGCAAACTTCAGGAGCTTGACCGTTGGGTCCTCTGAGGTGCAGTCGTTGGTGTAGAGGGAGAAGAGCAGTGGGGAGAGCACACAACCCTGGGGGGCGCCAGTGTTGATAGTCCGGGTGCTGGATGTGATTTTTCCCAGCCTCACCTGCTGCGTCCTGTCAGTCAGGAAGTTTGTGATCCACTGACAGGTGGAGGCTGGCACAGTGAGCTGAGAGAGTTTGGGTTGGAGTATTGCTGGGATGATGGTGTTGAACGCTGAGCTGAAGTCCACAAACAGAACCCTTGCATATGACCCTGGGGAGTCGAGGTGTTGCAGCATGTAGTGCAGTCCCATACTGACTGCATCATCCACCGACCTGTTTGCACGGTAGGCAAACTGCAGGGGGTCCAGCAGGGGTCCTGTGATGTCCTTCAGATGGGTCAACACCAGTTTCTCAAAGGATTTCATGACCACAGACGTCAGGGCGACGGGCCTGTGGTCATTTAATCCTGTGATGGAGGATTTCTTGGGGACCGGGATGATCGTGGAGCGTTTTGAAGCAGGAGGGTACTTCACATAGCTCCAGTGATCGGTTGAAGATCTGTGTGAAGATGGGGGCCAGCTGGTCAGCACAGACTTCCAGGCAGGAGGGTGACACACCATCTGGGCCTGGTGCCTTCCTGGTCTTCTGTCTGTGAATGAGCCGACTCACATCCTCTTCGCAGATCCTCAGTGCCGGTGGGGGGTCGGTTGGGAGAGATGAGGAGGAGGCAGGGGGTGTAGATGGTTGTTTGATGGGGCAGGTGGGGGGTGTGAGGGTAGGCTTATCAAACCTGCAGTAGAAGGCATTCAGGTCGTCAGCCAGTTGGTGATTGGCCTCAATGGGGGGGGATGGTCTCCTGTAGTTCGTGAGTACTTGCAGGCCTCTCCAAACTGACGAGGGGTTGTTGGCTGAGAACTTTTCCTCCAGCTTTTCAGTGTAGCTCCTCTTAGCTACCCTGATCTCCCTCGTCAGTGTGTTTCTGGCCTGGTTGTACAGGATCCTGTCCCCACTTCTGTAGGCCTCCTCCTTGGCCCGACGAAGCTGTCTGAGTCTTGCAGTAAACCATGGTTTATTGTTGTTGAATGTGCAGAAGGTTTTATTCGGCACACACATGTCCTCACAAAAGCTGATGTACGATGTCACAGTGTCAGTGAGCCCATCCAGGTCTGTAGCAGCAGCCTCGAAAACACTCCAGTCAGTGCAGGCAAAGCAGGACTGTAGCTCCAGCTTTGCCTCGTTGGTCCATCTCTTCACAGTCTTCACCACAGGCTTTGCAGATTTTAGTTTCTGCCTGTAGGTCGGGAGAACTCCAGAGGTGAACGTCCTGTCTGTGGTGCTTGACAAAGTTATTGGCACTAAAGCATCATGAATGGATTATTGGCATGTCGACAGGAGTGCTGACCAGGGAAAATGCACAGAGGTGACACTGAGTTACAAGTCTGACAGGGAGATGATTACCACGACCACCCCGGCCCCCCAAACACCACCTCCTCCTGCTCACTTCTCTCTGTCGCTCCCCTCTCCATCTTCTTGTTTTTTATCTGTTAACATTCATTCTGCGTCTCTTTCCATGGTTACCCTATCTATCACTGTGTCTCCCCACAGTCCATTTTCACTCTCTCTCCGCCTGCGTCCAAAACCATCGACTCCCTGTTTTGTCCTCCATATTGTACATTTGTCCCCCATAGTTTTGTGTCCCATTCATCTCTCTCTCCCAGTTTCTCTCTACATGTCTTCTCTCATTTCTCTCTGTCCCATCCCTTATTCTCTCCCTCATCCCTTGTCCTCTCCTCCTCCAATCTCTTTCTTTTATCCCTCTTTTCATCCTTCTCTTTACTATTATCTCCCCTCTATCCCTCAATGTCCACAACTGTCCTTGTTCTGTCATCCCCCTCTCTTTCTCTCTGTCACATCAGTCAATTTCTCCTCTTTGTCCTCCTCCTTTCTCCTCCTTCCACTGCTTTCAATATTTGTGTTGATGTACTTTATGTGAAACTGAGCCGTTAAACTGTACCGTTAGCATAATAAAAAAGCTCCTAAATTGACTGCACACATGCTTCCTGCTCATCCAATTTTCTTTTCTACACCTCCTCTCCCCTCTTCTCCTCGTAAGCTGATGTCTTGTTTGCCTCTTCCATTGCTTTCTGTTCTGCTATCTGCCTCTCCATCTTTGTGTTCACTGGTGCAACTTAGGTGCAATACAGTGTTGAGCTGTTTTGAAGTGACCTGAGGCTCATTCACACAGCCAGAAGGTAATTTGTGCCTCACTACCTCCACATCGCACTTACTCTTGACACATTTATACATGACATTTTAGCCATCTTTTTTATGTCTTTTCATGTCTCCACTTCCCCCTTTACTGCTGCATTTCTTTTAGTGTTTTGCTATATTTTTTTAAATGCATTTTGACAGCCAACAGAGAATGTGCCTGAACTTGTTGCACTCGGCTGTGGGTTGTAGCGTAGGAGACAGCAACCGTAGAAGAGTCGACAAACATTCAACAACAAAAGAGAGATTTTCTCCACTCAGGAAAAAAGGAAAGCCAGCGCTGAGAGCAGAAAATGTCTGATGCTGAATTACAATGTTTTGTACTGAGGCTATCATTGGTGGAGAAAATGGCTATTGTGCCTGTTCAATGGAAGATTTCTTCCAGTATGATTGTGGTTACATGGTTGCAAAATGGTGAGGCTGATGCCCTTGCTCTTGGATTCTGAGAGGAGTTATGTGAAATCCTGATTTCCTGCTGGATTTTCTGTTACAGCTGCATCGGAAACTGACACATCCTATCGTCTACCTTTGCACCACAAAATTAGAAAAATGCGATGCAGAGTACATTAAGAATAGCTAAGTATTAGTTGTTAAAGCTGGAATGTCTCATTTGGCTCACAGTCATGACAGCAGCTTAACTCTCTTAATACTTTGTTATACTCATATTTCGTGTGTATCAGTGTTGCTGACCTCTCGAAGGCGATGTTGCGGGTGTCCAGCTGAGTAGTCACCACGGCGGCAGACAGCCTGGCTGCTACCTGCTCATCGCTGGGCTGCGTCGCCCCCAGACGGTCCAAACCGGCGGGGTCGCTGCTGCAGGCGCCGCCCTTCCCCCTGCCAGGTGAGAGCGTTGCGAGAGACGAGACACACAAGGTCTCGCAGAACACCAGCTGCCTGTCATGGTCGACTTCCATCACCTCTGCGCTGGACTCTGAGAGGGTGACGGACAGGAAGAGCCATGTTAGTGAGCACAAGAGAGGCAGACGTTGACAGTGGGAAAGGACTACAACACGAGCATGCCAAATGAGGCTGCAAGAACACAAACACACACATGTACATGGAAGGAAATGTCAAGGGAGATGATGACTGATGTCAAGAGGCTGCAGATGCTGCAGCTGCACAGAAACAAGAATATCCAGGCAGGCAGGTCCAGGGAAAAGGTTAGAAGAAGAGGAATATTTCAAAGTGGTGAGAGGAAGAAAGACAGAAATAAAAAGAAGAACGAGGTGAGATCATACAGAGTTGAATGAGGCTACAAAGAAGCAGGGGGAGAGAAATCTGGAAATGCAATGACACATCGGCACCAGTCTCTGTGAATATCTGCTCCATCTCACATTAACTTCAAATAGAGCCTGTGTGACTGATAAATACTGGAATGTGTTTCTTAAAATTAAGCTTTGTTCAACTTGGACCTGTGAATTCACGTGATCGGCATGTAAGGCGCCGAAACAGTGTTGTCTTGCTGCATGTGGTGTCCCACAAGCTTGTTTGATACAATACTACACTACTATAATAAACAACTGGGATCATAATCTTTCTGCTCAATTTCTCTTCAATACCTTCATCAGACCAATGATATCACATTCGTCCGTTTTCAGTGCCGACAGCGGGGTTATTTCATTGGACTGAACGCAGATGTGAATGAAAAACCAGAGGACACAGGGGAGGAGGAAGGAGGATAGGGAGTAGGAAAGGAGATCAAGAGAGCCAGCGAAAGACAGAATGACAAACACATGCTTACTTTTTACTTGCAAGCCAATGCACAGTTTGGCATCTTATCTTAAAAATGTTTTATTTTTTTCGGAACGATGCATATCCACTTTCTTGCCAAGAGTTGTAGGAGATTAATACCTTCTAATGTCTGTCCTTCTGTAAGCTACTGCCAGCTGCCGGTTAGCTTAGCACAGCACAAAGACTGGACTCAGCACACATTCACACACATTTAAGTCAAGGGTTTGACCTCTGACCTTGTCCCCTGAAAATGAAGCTCCGGTTTCCTCTCTGCCAGGTCATCTGCTCGAAGCCCATCAGGGTGGTGTCAACGCGAAGACACTGACCACTCTTCCACACTCTGTAGGTGTCGCTGGGGCAGATACGAGACACCAGGGGCACTGAGGACGACACGTGGATCGGCTTTAAATGAAACTGTGATAGTTCTATTGCTTTCATTTGATTCATGCTGACAGTTCTTAAACTCTGATGAATCCATGTTGACAGAGACATTTCAGTAGTTGTGTCTTGTAACAACAATCCACGCACAAAAACATACAATTAGTTAAAGTCCGCTGTAGAGACTAATACTGAAATTACATCCACTTGTGGTTTTGTAAAGCACTTAAGACAAAAAGCACAAGCTGTTTCACTCTAAAACCAGAGTCACATGCATTCTGCTGTGCATTAAGTGTGTGAGCATCAGTGTGCAGTAGGAAGAGGCAGGCCTCTTCAGCCCAAGAGGGAGATGATAACATGATTATTTCTGACTGGTCGGTACTGGACTGCTTTACTGGCTGGAATGAAAGACTGCACTCACCCCAGCTGGTAAACTCCCATTTCATCTCCACATAGAAGTCCTGGGCCTGGACAGAAAGATGGAGAGAGAGGAGGAAGAAACGGGGGGTGGGGGAGACAATTAAGATAGCAACGGGCATTGATAAAGAGGAAAATATAGTGAGAGAATCGGGGAGATAGAGAGTGATGAAGTGATGAATATGGATAGACAGAGAGAGCGGGCAATAGTAAAGTAGAGGAAAATAATTGCAGTGATGCTGCTTTATTGTCTGTCCAGAGAAGCGGTTGTGAGTGTGTATGTGTGTGCGGGTTAATAATAGAAGTGATGGATGGAGGGGTGGACGAGAATGATGTGGATGGGAGCAGCAGCAGAAGAAGAACAGTGTGCGATGTTTGCATGTGTGCTTGAGTGCGAGTACTCATTGTCAAAGTATGAGGGGGTTGTCTCAACAATGTGAGTATGCTAGAGTGTGTGTGATTATGTGTGTGTGTGCGTGTGTGTGTGTGTGTGTATATCGGGGAGCCAGCTGGAGCAGATACACAGGCAGACAGACTGTGTGAAGGCAGTTCTCTGCATCTGTTCTCTGCAGCGGCTTCAACAAGGTCAGCTGCACCTCAATGCTCTCATGACCGCCAACCTTCGGGCTCTCCGCTCTCAGCTTGTCCGTCGCTGCTATTGTGCCTTTAAGTGTTGCACTCCATATCACTTAAATTACCCAGAGACAGCGTGTTTTGCAGCATTGAGACATATCACTTGAATGTATTTCCCTTGTTGGGTAGTACACAAAGTTATTAATACCTTCAAACAAAACCAAGAATATTTTATCCTAAAACGAAGATTAAGAAGTTAGTATTAAAATGATTCATCTACATTTCAAAAGACTGCATCTCTGCTCAGAACCTCCCTTGATGTGTCTTTGTAGTTGTATGTTTTGTTTTATGTATGTCATTTTAGTGTGTTTGTGCTTCCAGGCTTGTTTGTGTCTATGCAGGTGAGTGTGGTCATGGAGAGGAGTTTTTTTCCCATGTGTGCATCAATGTATATGTGTGTGTGCGCGTGTGAAATCCCACTTGGCGCAGTCGCTCCAGGAGGACGGGGATGCCCGCAAGTCTCTTGGCAGTCCTCTGGTAATCACGGTAGCGAAGCACGAGACGCACCAACTCCGGATCTCTTGTACTCACTGCCTCCTGAAGAACTGAAAGAGAGAGAGAGTGAAACAGAGCCAATCACTCAGACCTCATCTAAAATGAATGTACATGAGCAATTTAAGGGGGGGGGGGGGGGGGGCGCAGCAAGGATTGCCGAAACTGAAGTAGGCCAAAGTAAAAGTACGACCAATTACTGCTGCAGCTCACCCATCATTCAACAGAACGTCACTCTGCTGTTGATCTCACACGCTGTTCTACACTTCAACAATTGGGTAACAATTTTATTTCTCTCACTCTAACAGCATATCTGTGAGTAGAGGCTCAAACAGACAGCTGCAACAATCTACTACCTGCTGTTTCACCTGCTGACACACGACACAGTCATCAGATTAGAAGGGGAAAAAAAGATTACTTAATGATGCACCACAGACTCCCAGAAACATTGATGACAATAACAAAGATCTGATTTTATAGCGATTAATTCATCAACATGAATGAAACATTACATGCAGTGTCGCACAGACGGGAATGACAGTAAAAACAAAAAGCTAAGGATGAGGGTGGGTAGATTGGACTCACACTAAAGGGTGGGATATCAGCCAATAGAATTTCAAGGTTACAAAATGAATTGATGTCATGCTTCATTAGTCTCCAACTGCCAGACCTCCACGTTACATTTGCACAGTGCCCAGCAGATAAGAGGTGTCTGGCAGAAGCCACCGTTGTTCTACGAAAGAGGTGGCGAAGAAAAGCGTCACGAGTGGTTTGTATTTTCTAAAACAATCAACAGGACAAAGATCTGCAAACCTCATTAGCGCCAATGTAAAATAGAGTCAGTGGGAGATGTTGTTGTGTACCATTTGGTGTGTAATAAATGATATGTTATATATTATCGTAGTCCTCTTATTGTGACCAAGGGGGCTACAACCACAACATTTGTGATTACGATTTTCTTTGGAAGAGGAACATTTTCTGATTGGAATTCGTCTTAGTGAGCTCACTTAAACAAAGACACACAAATAATAAAGCGATCTATTCACTCATAAAGCACATAATACATTAATCAAGGTATAAAACAGGTCATATCCATATTAATTAGTGGTTAGTTTGTGATTTATTTGTTGGTTACTAATGAATTATATAGAGATGAATAAATGCCTAAAATGACTCTGGGCCAAATTGTGTGAAATCTCTTCCAGTGTGCAGGATGGCACCTATTAACTAGTGCAATTACAGCTAGCTTTCAGGTTTATTTGCAATGACAGATACTGAAAGGAGTTAAAATCCATAACATTCGTATCCTCTAAAGGAAGCAGTTGAAAAGATAAATATGCTGTGGATTTAAATTCCTTTCAGTTCAGTTGATTCCTTTCATGGGAAATGTGGTCATAAGTTTTAACCACCGGTGTAAAATTTAAAGCACCAACTGTCTCCACTGCGATCATATTATACTGCCTTTGACAATGATATATAACACGCTCTAACCCCCAACACACCACCCAATAATGTATTACGTATGCTGCACATTGCGCATGCTAACAGAACCATACGTCTCCACACACACACTCACCGGTCCATCCATTGCGGTTCTCCTTGCTAACATCAGCTCCGTGCTGCAGCAGGACCCTGGCACATTCCAGGTGGCCCAGCGTGACAGCCAGGTGGAGAGGAGTCCGCCCACGAGGGTCCAGAGACTCTAAATCAGTCTGGATGGAAGGAGGAGGAGGAGGAGGAGGAGGAGGAGGAGGTGAAATAAAAGAAAAGGAAGAAAAATGAAAGAAAGAGAGAAAGGGGAAAGTGTAAGGGAGGAGAGTTAGCATAAAGGTAAGAGGAGCGGACAGAGAAGAATGAAGTAGGAGGAGAGGAAATTAGGGTTAATTGTGTATCATTGTAGTTCTCTTCTATCCCAGACGGGGGAGGGAGAAACAGAAATAAACACAATAGGGACACAAGTGTGACGATGACGATAGAGAGAAGGAAAGAGACACAGTGTCAGGTGCTAATTCATCTGTCACCACTCCAACATGACTGGGTGTTACACTCTATACTCTTCACTCAACACACTACATGTATCCCACTTATTTTCTGGGCTGGATGGATTGATTCTAGTATAACTACCTACTCCCGGAGCATTTTGAGCAGCCTTCTGTCATCCTTCAAAAAGGTTCAGAGAAGGTTGTCAGTTTGAATCCCTGGCAGGGAAATGTAAACAGGTGAACTAAATAAGGAGCACGGTTTTCCATCTGCCATGCCTTGTTCTTTCTTCCTCTGAACATATGTAACCGTCTGACAACAACATTGATGAACAAAAAGCATAATTAATGCTTCAGGCTTCACTTGGTGCTCTCAGCTCCACTCTGCATGTCAACGAGACCTCATTTGTCAGTCATATTACATTAGTGTTATTGTGTAACATCAATCATACCAATGCTCTGATACACTGACTTAACAAAATAAGCATTGCTTTTAAATCCCTCTCAGACATGTTAAAACATATTTGATAGACACCTGTGGATGATTTAAGATTCTCAGAATACTAACTTATTGATGTCTCTGGTTTTGGTCGATCGTTTAATTAAACAAAATAAGAAAAGGGGATTATTGGTTTGAAAAAATAATTGTGTACGTCTAATTTTGAGCCTTAAAAAAACGCCAATTCTCTTCTCTTGTCGAGTGTTCGATGAAAAGGCTTCTGTAACTCAGAAGCTAGAGCCAGCTCAGACGATGAGCTTAGCTTAGCATAAAGGTAACATGTAACATGTCATTATTGATCATGAAGACTGAGAATCTCACAAGTGTTCCCGAGTCAAACAGCAACAGGGCCCATGTTAGTTACAATCTGTTCATTACAACATGAGCCGTGGTGCTTGTACACCTGATGAGATTTGGTGTCTCTACACTCAGTTGACTAAAGGCTGTATTGTTCTGCTAGAACTGCCCATCCTTCTCTCTGTCTGTCCGCCAGGCCGCTCTATGCACCACTGTTTTCATGTTGAGTCTCTCTGCAGGGTGCTGCACTGATCTCAGGTCTGCCATCCAATTAAACAGACGCTGACAGCCACCATTATTCGGGACCTTTAGGCTGATCCATGGTCAGTTCTGTCAGTCAGTGGCAGGCTTGAATTACAATTAAGGATTTCTCTCGGAGATAAGTCACTCAGAATCGGCACTCTAATAAAGACCTTAAGGAAGCTGTGGACACTTCTTTCGAGGAATAAAAATGACACTATTTGGAGAACAATGTAAGGGTTCGAGTTGTTTATCATTTTAATATTTGAAGTAGGAGAAATATGGCGGAGTAGGTGAATTCGGGGAAGAGCCCTGAGTCCTTATTGATCCACATAAATCCTTAAATCAAAGCAGTGGAGGCTGAGAAAATATACTAAGGGGGAATTCTTAAGCAACTGAGAATAAACCAAACAACTCAACAACTCAATATGAGGAAGCTGCCCTGACTGTTTACTGCTCTTAGTGTATAATATCCTAATAAAAATGACTGGCAGCTACTGTCACAGGTTTACTGCTGCGCTCTGAGAAACACACAGGGTGAGCAGAGCAGGAAAGACCCAGCAGTTACGTTGTAACAAACATCAGGGAGCGTATGAATTCAAATACAGACACAAAAATAAAATATGTAGATACACATGTTTGCATAAAGGAGGACACTCACAGGCTCTTACAATGTTAACAGCTGCCCTGACTGTTTTAGTGTGTTAATGGGTGTGCTATCTCTGTATGATCCCTAACTACCCACTCTTTGGTTAACCGTTCTCTGCTCTCCACAGCTCTCTCAAAAGCAACCCTGACGAGAAAGAGTAAGAGTGAAAGAGGCAGACAGAAATAATGTGGCTACAGAAATTTCTATTGAAAGAAACTGCCTGTCAGCAACGACTGCAACGTGCAAGACAGACGAGGGTGGAGAAAAGGAGACAAAAAGAAAAGATTGCCGTGGCAAGCGATGACTCCGGCAAACAAAGATAATAGCAAGTGGTGAGGAAAGAGAACAGATGGAGAAAGAGAGTTAGGGTGGAGGATGAAGGCAGAGAGGGGAGCCGAAGGAGACAACAACACGAGGGAGTCCCTCAGGAGCCGAGGAGACTGGGGAATAGAGGGTGGAAGCGTAGCAACGCAGGGGAAGAATGAGAGCAGTCGACTTTGTTTGTGTGTGCTGGATAACGAACATGGTGTAACATGCAAATACAGCCACATTCGGTGCTGTGTTTGTGTGTGTGTGTGTGTGTGTGTGCATGTGTGGCACAAGCAGCGTCTCAGAGGACAATGGTGCATTGGCAGCACGAATATGAAGAACTGTCAGTGTCACAGGAAAGCAAAGTGTCCATCATTTAAACAACACAAGAGACCCCATACTGAATATTAATATTGAGTCTTTGAAAACATTTACCGCCCAAGTGGAACCTTTTTTTTTTTTTTAAGAAAGAAACCCCTCACATATGGTTGTCAGCACATGAAAGAAGAGAGAAACAGAGAGACAAGAACAAAGCTGACGGTAAAATAAATAGATGAGGGAAAAAGGAAAAGGAAGAACGTGGCTCCTTTTTGTCTCTTTATGCCACTTGTACTGTCTCACAGCAGTCCTTTCATCCGTTGCTCCCCCTTTAAGTGGCTGCGTGTAATGTTGGTGATTATCAGTTTAAGCTTATTTTACAGCTGTGCTTGATTTCAATGACTCCGGGTGCAACAGCTGAGGGGGAACGGCTGGAATGCTGCACAGAGACACAAGGGGAGCCGGAGAGGAGGGAGGAGAGGAGGGAGGAGAGGAGAGAAAGAGGGACGCGAATAAGGGCGAGGCTAAACAGAAACATGTGGAGACATGGGAGGGAGGTAAAGTCAAGAAAGGGTTGCAGTGAGGTGATTACAAGGGAGGATGTCGAGGGAGATGGATCGGAGAGGGCCGTATGTGAACTATATAACATGGGGTGACAGGGAAACAGCAGCGTAATCCACTGAAGTGTAGCTTCTGTAGCTGCTCTCACCTCTGCTCAACTGCACCTGATGCAGCTGCTGTCTCGGTAAAAGAATGGTTGAAAAAAAGCAAGAACATGAGCACCTGTCTACTTGGCGTCTGTGATGATTTTCGGTAGCAGTTGTTATTTGTTACATCCATTATACTCATTGCAAGTCACGCTAAGCAAGGTTGTCAAATTAAAGCTTATAATATTGCTGAGTACATGTCAGCTTGTTGATGCCTCACAAAAGGCCTCATTCCTATTGTTTGACTTTATTCAAAGTAAGAATGTCTTGACTGAGCGCATCATAAATCTGCTGCCACGTTCATATTTTCTACACTTTCGCTGAGGGGCCAGGCATCCCCAATCTGGATCACGGTCTTAATCTAGCAACCTGTCCATCACCAGCTGTCCTTTATCATTGCATGTGTTGTGATGACACCTTCGAGCACAGTCTCTGTGGACTCAACGATTAGCTGGGGTTCATTTGGTCCAATTTGAATCAAAGGTAGCAGGGAAAGATAGAAAAGTGGTTGACAGACGGAGATCAGAGTTAACAGAGCTACGATTTACACCGTGAGTTCAAAATGAAAGTTCAAGACAGGAAGCCGCTATTATTAGCGACAGCGACATGCTAAGCTACTGTATCTATTGAGCATTGCAATGCACTGAACAGCAACACTAACATAAGTGGCACACACACACCCACACACAAACTCAGGCATGCATGTACACACACACACACACACACACACACACACACACACACACACACACAATACATACATCACACACACTTGAAACTAAAGCACGATGAAGAACATCGAGTTCCCTTCCCCCATTAACAGAACAGGAGCTCTCTGGAGGAAATTGTTGGTAACTTTTTATGTTATCTGCTGATAACAGATAGTGAGGAAGTGTTTACTACACACAGAGAGAGTAAATCGAGCACTTGATCACTGACATTATAATGATGCAATGTATTTGAAAGGCTCTTTTTGACAGCAGACATTTTAACTCGCCGTAGAAGGAAAGTTGTAAACATTTAAGATGTCTATGTTCTATTCAAGCACCCCGATAAGCTACGACATTGTGATAGTGAGCCAGCATGCACAAGACCCGGAACCCAAAACCGAATCAGCCAAATGGAATCCAGCCATCAGTCATTTTGCTATTTACACCTGAGCTTTTCCTACTGTGACAAGACAAATGTCTTCAGTTAAAAGAAACAGGCCTATTATGACAAAAATAAAAGCTTTTGTTAAAAGGTGAAACACCCTTTTCACAATAAACGTGTTCTCATACCAAGCGATAACCAAATGCATCTAAGAAATGTGAAAAGGTCATGTTGTGGTTTTACAGGTGGCAATGTGCCAGACTATTTCTTGCCAGAAAAACGGTGCCTTATTGGACCATTTACCTACTAGCCCTATTTTTAGCCCTCTGCTCGAAAATTGCATACTCCTACTCTCTTGAGTAAACTACCCAAACTACAAGGTCTATTTTAATAATTTTGATGCTAGAATACTGGTAACACTTGTGAGATGTGTAAATATTGTGTAAATATTGTGTATATGTTACTGGTTAATAACTGATACACTTATGGCACAGCTGAAGTTGAAAAAGTTCCAGGTTCGCCTGAAAAAAAAGCACTTTCATTGACATTTCTTTGGAATTATTGCAGAGTGAAGCCTACAAATACTCCTGTGTCATAGCAAACAGGGTTGTGGTCTCTCTAA